CAGAAGACAACAGTTTTACACAAAAATTATGCAAATTTTTCAAATATCTTCAAGCTGTTTAGCACAATTTCAATGAAATCTATTTTTATAATTCACAAGGTCAAATTATTATTTTGTTGTATTGTCAGTTTATCCCTGGCATACTTAGAAATTATGTTGATGCAAGTACAAGTGAGAGATATACAGCAGGAAAAGATATCATTGCTATCAACGAACATACAGCCAATTCTGCAGTAGTTTGATAAAATCCATCATCACCAATGTTTTTATTGTAATAATGGCTGCACTGCAGTTGAACAATCTCTTGTTGTTACTCTGCCGTATAATATATATCCCTCATCTTGTTGCTGGTGTGATTTTTCACGTTTTTCATTCAAAATATCAAAAAAGTTTGACTGACAGCGGATTGAATACGTCGAATAACGATGATAAATAACACATTCGTATTCACCTATTTGCGTGATAAGTATACAATGCAAAAAATCTGTAGTCTTTTTGTATTTCTTCTAAAGTCTCTGTGATTGGAGAGTCGTCAATACTGCTGACCGATTCTTTTACAGGAATGTCAACAATCGGTGAGTCTATTTCTTCCATGTCGATGTCGGCCATGATGGTATCAAAAACGTACAGAACACTGAGGTCACTACGCACAAAAACCGACCAATCGGATGCGACGTCACAAAACTTGCAGTCGCCAAATCTTTTATCCTCGTTCACTATCTATTTACATTCGAGTATCTCTTTAGCCACAGATCTTAAGTAGCTGCGAGATTTTTTCATCTAGGATAGAGTTAAATTAATTTATATGTAATATTTACCTAATTGTCAGATTAAATGAAATATATATTCTTGTATTTAATCTGTAATTGTATCATCTTAGGCTAGGCTGATGTGACCTTCCATTGACGTAAGCGAAGAAATGTAAATATTGTCGTCTGCTGTAACTTTACGCATTTCAGGTGCCGACATTTTTAAAGGTCTCTGTCTTTAAAAACTGTGCACACATGAGCAAGGTTAGGTATGTGTTATGTAAATTTGTTTGTCATGTATTATTTACTTACGATGCATTTTATATGAGTTTAGAAGTTTAGGAATGTTTCATGAAAACTGTGACTTTCTTTTAGCAACAATCCCCCAATCTGTCTTTTTCGTACAAATGTTATCATTTATCAAAAGCTATATCAGAAGTGTTTTATGCTCATGTAGGCTGTATGAATGTACAATGTTTCCTTTTTTTTTTTGCTTTTTTGTAAGTTTGTTAGTGAGTTCGATGAAAACTGGCATGTCAGAAGAAGCAAGAATTTGAAGAAACCATACTAAACGTTTTTCTTAAATTTTACTGAGAACTGGTACTAAAACGTCAATAGTGACTATATTAAAACTACAAACAAATCAATTCCGCAATTTTCAGACAAGATTAGAGAAGTTGTGATGGTTTTCTTTGAACCTTCTCATAATGAATTGGTTTGGCAATATTTGTTTTTATATTACTTCTTATACTATTGGCGCAACAAAGGCATATTGCATTCATTTTTATAAATATTTATATATTTGACAATTCAAACTGAAACAAGAAGTTTCTATTGGCCGATTAAATACCAATTTTAACATTTTTAAATGATGCTATAATGTGCTCGTTGATTGGCTGATTTAATTCAACAGCTATTGAAATTTATAATTATGAAAAAAAGGTGAAGGGAATGCCTTTGTTGCGAGTATGAGTATGACCACACTTTAAATTCTAATTATTTGCTATGCTTACACAACATTTTATCACAGCCCAATGGCTAGAGCCAGCAAGAATGGCCATGTATAAGCTTTGGCTTGAGCCAAGTTTGGCTCCAATAAACCCTCAGGTTTGAACTCCGATAGGATTGAGCCCAGACATGGCTCCAACCTTGTATATGCGTCGGGCCCAGCTATCGGAGCCGAAATCACCCCCCAATCCTCTTCTTCAAGTAACATCTTATTTCAATTATAGCGCAGACAACATTGTTTGTAATTTCACATAATTTCTGGCTTGAAAAAGAGGTACGTACCCTAATATCTATTTGGCAGAGTAAAGAAATACAGCTTTAGATTGATAGCTCAATGGGAAACAGAAAAATGGCGTATGAAATTATGTGACAAAAACTTGAAAAGATGACTGAACAGATACAATGGAAATTAAAGAAACTTTTTAAAGAATACTAGTAGGCTGTAACACATTTAGTGTATGCCGTGTATCCTGTTTATTCGAGATACCTAAATCATAACATCAGTGCATTGTCTCAGACTCATGACTGTTTCTTATTTCTCCCAGCTCAACAGCATTGTGCCATATAAAGAAACAACAACACAAGCACGACACCAAAATCTTTTACAGCCATGTTGTTTTCATACTAAGTATTTGAGGGCACTGTTCTTTTCGGCTCTAATCGAACTGAATTGAACTCTCAGCTCTTATTTGGTCCTCAACGGTGTAAAAGCATTGGAGATAATCTTCTGTGGTGGGAGGAACAGTTGCTCAGCCATGTAAAAATAGCATATACGAGAAACATTTATAAAAATTTACTGTAACGGTATATATATTGTTTACATAGTGTAAATTCATTCATTGTTTATCTTACAGGTATTGTATTTATCCAAATGATTTAAAGCAGTAAGATAACATCATGTCCTGGTCAGGAGGATATGAGAATCAGTTTGGGACACAGAACACATGGCCTGATGGTACTACTATTACTGGAAGGAATGCAAATCAAGGAAATAATGCCACAGTTCGAAGGACTATGCTCAGAGAACTTTCACCAGGAATGCCTAATACGGTAATTAAAAATAATTTAATCATAAAAAGTGGCAGTGTATAGTGCATTAGTGTAGTTTAAGTAAGCAGGACAAGTCCTATGCATTAGGATGAATGTACCCCCGGTACTGGCATCTAATATTTCACCTGACCTGTTTATTATTTGTATATTTCTTGAATTTGTTCCAGGTCTTGGTTGGTGTTGTAATAACTAAGCAAAGTGTGAGATCTTTTCCAAGCAAAAAAAGTAAGTGAATAGAATTTTATTGTAAATTATGATTAAATATATATTTATACATCATGTTATATTGTATATGTATCTATTACATGTAGTATTAATTTAGGAACATGAATATTAATATGAGGTTATTACAAGGATACTGAAAAGTATGCAGGAAGATAGTACAGCGGGAGTATCGACTGACGTGCCGCAGAGGACGATGCGACTGTGTGCTGTTTGAGTGCATACTTTTTGGTTTCCCTTTTAATAACCTTAATATTATACTTCTTTTCCTCCCAAGGATACATCATGGGAAACTAGCAATGTTTGTACATAAAGCACAAATTCTGAGACAAGAATGTATTAACATGAGGTGACTTTTGACCTAAGGAAAGAATTAGTTATGTATTTATTTTTCCATGTATATTGTGAAATGGGCCGGTGGCCTTTAAGAACAAATAAAGATTCTGGTAATAGTTGAAATCATATGAATGCCAAAATACAAAAAGTTTAGAACAGATTGAGCAAACTTCTTTGTATGGGGTCTGGTCAAACTCTGGGGCTGCCATGTTTGTTTTTTCATTATTAGAGGACACTTATTTGGAATTTGCATTGGTAGGATGAAAATACCCTATAAAATACCACAAAATTATGGCATGCTGAAACTTATGGCGTTACAGTTACAGATGTATAATAATAGTTATTATGGTGACCTCATTGTGTCAGAACTGTTCCCGCCAAAGGTGTGGGCAGTATTTTCTACACAAAATTTAGTTTGTTGCATTGTTTAAATACTATTATTCTCAATTTCCATGCAAAGAAAAAATCTTACTATGTGGCGATTGCATTATTGTCGGTAGTTTGTATCCATCTTGAACAATTATTCATTATTTAATATGTAGAATTTCATTGGGCAAGGTTGTGATAATTATACTATATGTTATTGAAGTATTAAACTGGAATTCAAAGCATGATATAGCTTGTTTTTTTAAAATTTCATCCAGCATTTCAAATGGCAAATTGGAACATGTGCAGCCAAATATTTATATACTTTGCTGAAACTTCACACAATATAAGATTCACCTTATTCACTTTTATGAATGTTATTTCCTTATTATGGGAAAATAAAATGGAATTTAACTGAAAGTTAAATTGAAACAAGTTAATTATATATATGCATGTTATTTTTTAATCATAGTAGGCGAATCTATCAAACCAGTTTCAATTTAACTGTGCTTCATGACATGCCTATTCAAAGAATTAAATATGTATACTTAACTTCATCTTTATATTTCAGATATTGGAACTGAAAATTTCTTGATGAGCTTTACACTTAGAGATACTCCTACTGAATTTATAAATGCAACATGTTGGGGTAATGAAAGACACATTAGAGAATTAAGTAATACATTTAAAATTGGTGACATTAGTAAGTTTATCTTATTTATTTTTGTTTAATTGTAATGATATTAACCTTACCAGGCAAAAAAAGTCTTCTAAATGCAGACTATAGCTGTTAAGGTTCAGATTTGTATACAATTTTATAACTGAGTAGTTAATGTACGCGATGTTTATATACAGCGACAGACAAGGCAAGGCAATTAATATATAATAATGATAATCTTATTAAAAATATATATAACATATAATTTATTAGAAGCATATCTCTAATAAAGCGGTAAATGAACTCAAAAAATTACATGTATTTTATATTGGGCAATTAAAGTACAGATGTATTTTGACCATAGACAAACTTCTATCATTTAAATTACATATGCTGCTACAGTATAAATATGTAAATCTCTGTTATGTATCACTTTGTGTGAAATTATAAATAACTATTAAATAGAACCTATGTTTCTGGTTTCAGTTGAAGTTCAGAATCCTCATGTTCAGAGCAAGCCCCCTGGTGAACTAGCTGACAAATATGGGCCATGGACTCCTTTGTAAGTTTATTACTAACCTTTGTATCTTGATTGAAATGATAAAATACGATTAGTTTCCATCATGTAAAATACATTGCTGCACAGCATTATGAACCATAACTTTGTGTAATAAAGCCCTCACACACGGGATGGAAATTCATGTTGTTTTGGTTTGCGCCCTCAACGTTGACATTTAAAATAACTTTATACATTATACTTATATGTTGTTGTCATAAATTACTGTTTCTTTCTGATGCTAACTACTGTATCTGTTAATCCACTTGCAAGGGCACAGTAAAATCACACTGTCCATGTTAGCTTTATTAATTGTAGTAAATAATTACTTTTTCTTACAGAGGTGTAGAAATAAATATCAGTGAAACTCGTTCAACAGTTGTCCACTACAGTGGGTGGGATTTTGCTAATTTTAACTCAATTCAACATATACCAGTCAAAGAAAGCAATGATTACTATACACTTGCTGATGTTATTACTAATGGACAGAATTTACATGGACAACATATCAACCTTTTAGCTTTAGTGAGAGAGGTATTTAAATCGATTCATAGATATTATTTTGTAAGGAGATTGAATCACAAATCAGAAATAATAATGTCACAGTATCGCTATAATTGTCACATAACTCAATAAGGATAATAAATCTAGATTTTTTCTAACTATGTTGTGTTTAGATGGGAATACCTAAGGATTTGGTGACCAAAACAGGAAGACAAACAAAAAGATGTGAAATAAAACTGCTTGATGAAACATGTCCATTGTTTACACTTATGTTGTGAGTATCTTGTTCCCTATAATATATTTATTGGATAATTCTTATAACAAGTACATGTATATATATTTTTTAGTTGTATATTTTTTCTGCTTTCTATTTTTTTTAGATATTTTATATTAAAGTTTTATTGTTGGCAAAACCTAATTTGAAAGCCCTTTCAATTTTGAGTATCTTTATCAAAAATCAAATCTGAAAGTTGCGGTGTTTGAAAGTTATACTGATTAGAAGCTGTTGGGATTCTGCTTCAGGATCATACAGAGCACAACTAACCTAGGAAGTATATAATGTTTGAAGTTCTAAGCTTGCAGTGGTAACATGAGTAAAACAACCTGCCTATAAAAATTAGAAAGAGAGGGCCCTAATGACCATACAAGAAACTACTCAAAACTTTTGCTTACATCTCAGAGTACAAAGAATCCTGCATGTGATTCAATGTGATTTGATGACACCATAAGAACCTAAAAACTTGATCACATCTGAACCACCAGAAATGCTTGGCGATGGCAAGGCACTATTTTCAAACAAAATTTTGCCAACAATGAAACTTTAAACTTAAGAAAAACTTGTTTATATTCACTTAATGGCTTGTCCAAAAACAGAGACTTATAATTCGGTCTCCATCCATCTGTATGTCCAGAATCATATTTCAGAATCTGTCAGTCCGATTCTGTCCATTCTTTGCATGTGCCAAGTATTTTATGTGGGACATATGTACATGCAGTGGTTTAGCTGAGTAAAACAACCTGCCTATAAAAATTAGAAAGAGAGGGCCCTAATGACTATACAAGAAACTACTCAAAACTTTTGCTTACATCTCAGAGTACAAAGAATCCTGCATGTGATTCAATGTGATTTGATGACACCATAAGAACCTAAAAACTTGATCACATCTGAACCACCAGAAATGCTTGGCGATGGCAAGGCACTATTTTCAAACAAAATTTTGCCAACAATGAAACTTTAAACTTAAGAAAAACTTGTTTATATTCACTTAATGGCTTGATATTTAGTCTCCGTTCGGACGAAGTCCAAAAACAGAGACTTATAATTCGGTCTCCATCCATCTGTATGTCCAGAATCATATTTCAGAATCTGTCAGTCCGATTCTGTCCATTCTTTGCATGTGCCAAGTACTTTATGTGGGACATATGTACATGCAGTGGTTTAGCGATTCGATTCAAAATGCCTGACTGGCA